AAAGATCTGTCTAGGCATGATATATTTCTTTTTAGAATCACAAGCAGCTCCCAAAACAGTACCGGTCAATTAACCATCTCATTTCTTCAGAAGTTGAAGTGCATTAATATTCACACGAAACCAGATATTTTTCTTATGGAGAATCAACCAAAACAAGCTAATGGATGATCGTTTTTATACAGTATATGATAAATGCAATGAGTTTATTATATGCAGGAAGATGGAAGAATGCAGAAATGCCTATAATGGAGGAATGGAACATGAAGATGGCAGCACTTGCAAAAATGGCTATAATTGACTTGTTTGATTAGGGAGGGAGCAACAATTACTTTTATAAAACACTGGAAACCCATTATAGACTTTTTACTGAAAATGGATAAAATGATTTTGGGATTTATTTATTTAAAATATTTGTTTATGGGAAGAAGAAACAAACAATATTCAGTTTGGGAGGGTGGAAATGGTAATTACTATGTAACTGTTGCAAAGAAAATTGGAAGTAGCTTCTTTAGATTTCCTTTTCTCTTTTTTTGTTATCTTTCACTTTTTCTTTTATTCTTTCATATTTCTTTCTTTTTTGCTACTTTTCTTTTTATGTTTCTATTATGTCTATATTAAAAATAGAAATGCATAAGTCTCCAAGTTTTGCAACACTGGGCTTTTATTTATTCCTGTTATTTTTCTGAAAGATTTCTAGTTTCAGTCTTAAAATGAGGTGGACGTTTTCTGAAATGAATTTACTACCCTTCCAGCCATAACCTTAGAACACATTGGGTGATTATTGGAAAGAGGAAAAACAAAAATGTTCTTTTGATATGAGAATGATCAAAATATAGCATCGGGTGTTCAAATGGAGTCATGGAAATATTGGTCAATAAATAAAAGTCCTCCTGACCACAGGCCAGATGAGTTTAGGGGCAGATGGATTGTCAGAAGTATGATGGCATTTCCTCCAAATGTGCAAATGTGTGCCTCAACTTTGATGTGAACATGATTAGCTAGACAAAGATGCTTTGTTCCTTTGGTTTCACATGGTTTCCATATCAGTAGTTCTTACTTGTATTTTTAAAATAAAGTATTAGGCTTTCTCTGGTATATGTGCCATATCCAAAAAGAACTTCCTTCTTGAACCTTCAAACAAAAACAAAATAACTAACCAGTGTTTTGAATTCGATTTCAAATTCTGAAAATAAGTAATTCTTCTCTCCGGCTCCCTTCCTTGGTTCTTAATCTCCACATTTATATTATTGCTAGGTTTTGTTTTTAAATTGTAGCGCATAGATCAGTGGTGAAATCCAGTTTTTTTTACTACTGGTTCTGTGGGCGTGACTTGGTGGGCATGGTGTTGCTTGGTGGGTGTGGCTTGGTGGGTGTGGCAGGAGAAGGATAGTGCAAAATCTCCATTCCCTCCCCACTCCAGTGGGAAGGATACTGCAAAATCTCCATTCCCACCCCCCTCTGGGGTCAGCCAGAGGTGGCATTTGCCGTTTCTCTGAACTACTCAAAATTTCCACTACCGGTTCTCCAGAACCTGCTGGATTTCACCCATAGATGGCTTAACATTAGCTACTTTCTTGCACCCACTCACACACAAATACTGAAAATGGCACTTTGTTACAAAAGGACTGCAAATTTATTGAACAGTATTATTGACAAGAATATTATCAATATAATATTAATATATCACATTATTCCTGAAAGCTTCTTAAAAGCCTGCCTATGAAATGAAATCTACATAAAATCATTGTTTCCACAGACAGAATCAAATAGAAATAATATCAAGTAGTTCAAAATTACTCCTTTCCCTTTAAAGTAACTAATACTTTTTTAAAAAAAAAACTTTTCCTGAATTGTGACTGTGCATATCGTCTACATACACATATATCTGGGCATATCATTCCTTTCAGTGATTGGCTCAGGTGTCCTAATGTCTCATTGGGCAAAAAGTCCTTGGCCCTGTTTGCTACACTGGTCAGCTCCCAGCGGGCATCCAGTCTTTCAGGTAATCTGGTTGCAAACTCTAATGGACTCAAAATATGAAAATTCTTTGAACCAAGAGTTGGATTGGCAACCAACTCTGTTGTTAAACTTCTGTTACTGAGTTGGAATAAAATGGGGATACTCACTGTAGCATCATGATCCCATTAAGGATTTCCACTAATAGGATACACAGTGAATCTTTTCCAGTCCCCATTCTTCCCACAACCATTTTGCCATTTCAAGACATTCCAGGATGTTCCAATACTCTGCAGTAACTGAGGAGGCAATCCACCCTGTTGCTCTGGATCCAAGTCACTGCTTCTTCTCTCTTTTGTTGCCCACAGTCATAATTTGTTTAGCACTGATGAAGTAATAAATTGAATCCAAGAGTGCCTGCTCAAGTTTCAGTAAGTGTTCCATGGAACTTTTACAGGAAAACTGGTTGGTGGACTGTAAGTAGATGAGTCATCCCTCCACATTCTAGATGGAAATGTTTTATTCATATTCAGGGCAGAATTAAACGATGCCATTGGATTAATGAATTTGCTTTAAGAAAATGTCTGTTACAGCCAGAGGTTAGAGAAATAAAGAAGAATAACACAAAATAGAAAACAGGCTCTTTGGCTTCAGTGAATCTTAGATTCTTCCAAATGCAGTCAAGGAAGCTCACTATAAACCAGAAGTTTGACTGTGGTTCTCTTAACCTCTGGTGACGTAAACTGGTTCTAGCATATTTCTCCACAATTGTGGAACTTGAGTCTGGTTTGAAAAATAAATATTAATCACAGGCAATTCAGTGACACTTTGCATGCATGAATGTCATCACAGACACAGATCACCTTCACATCATTTACATTAAAAATTGTATGATTCATGTATTACACTTTTCATTGCTGAGTATGTGATTTACATTCATGCATAATCTGCCTTGTATGCCTGGCAGAACTGACTGTGAGGACTAAAACTCCAATGAGTTGACTTCATGGTGACTTCTGCAATATCACCGTATAAGTTTCTTGAAAAAAATATGGAAGGGTTTTGCTCCTGCATTCTTCAAGGATTTCCTAAGGTGTTTTCTGGTGCTCTCTCAAAACTAACTCCACAGAAAATCAGTGTTTTGTGGTAGTCTGGATATTTACATATAAGATGATGATTCAAAATGAAAGCTTGCAGCTCTGAGACAGGTATCTGATTGTGGACAATCCTATTATTTATTCCTATTGTAGATAAAGTGAAAAATGAAGGCAGTTCAAATCTTACTATGGGCAGTAGAAACCTTATCTAAACCTTCTTTCATAAATGAAGTGAGGCAGGGAAAATTACAACCACAAGATGGAGTTGAAGAGCACTGAAGGAGATCAACACCACCAAACTTTAAATAATAATAAAATATTTATTTAAAACAAAAATACATTATTGTAAGCAATGTAAAAAATAACAATGTGTACAGCTGTTGAAGTAGAGCTTCTGTTACCTATTACAGAATGCATGTGATAAGCATTATGGAAGTCATAATCCAACATGTCTGGAGGTGAGTCAGTTGGGCTTGTTGTCTTAGACAAATCACTTTAAGTGGGTTTTTATGCTTGTTTACATTTGTTTTTCACCATCCAGAATTGTATGTCAAGTTAGATATTTTAGAAATTTAATAAATAGCTAAATAAACAAAAAATGTATGCACATTGAGCTGATCTCTATTGAAAATGAGATTCTTTGCATCCTTTTGGTAGTAAAATGATGGTTTTCAGTAATAGGATTTGGCATGTCTTTTTTTTAAGCAGCTAAAGGGTAAAATACTTGCATTAAAACTCCACTAGACTTAACACAAGAACTTACCTTGGGGAAAAAAATACCCAATTTCTTCCCCCAAGACTCCTTGACACTCTCCAACACCATATTAAAATAAATAAATAAATAAATAAATAAATAAATAAATAAATAAATAAATAAATAAATAAGCAAAAGGGTGTTCTCTCCCCTGATGAGGCGAATCTCTGGAACCACCATGACATATGGGAAACTGAGGGGAGGTGTGCTGGAAGCTGAAGGAGGCCTCAAAGCTGAATTGAGAACTGAGAAGATTTTGACATAAAGGCTCTATGCATAATTGCTCCATCAGTTTAAAATGTCCAATACCAGAGGAAGAAAATCTAGATGCTCTTTTGAGATCTTCTTCAGGCAGGCATGATATAGACAGAATGGCAGTGGCAAGGATATGTTGGAGAGGGGCCATAATTTTGTAATGTGAATCAGTAAAGGCATAAATACAAGTAGTGTAACAGCTATGAGGATGTAATTTATTAAAGGGTTTGTATAAAAGAACATTTAATTTTAATGATTTCTAAAGTGCCAAGTGTTTAAGGACTTGTCAGTCATACCACGGCTTTTGCTCTCCATTTTAGCTGGAATGCTTAAAAGCCAGAAACCAATTGACTTCTTCCAGGAAAATCAGGGCCAATACTCTCTGGCTATTTCTCCCCCCCCCCCCCCCATCCCATTTCTGTAATAAAAAGGACCGGATGCTCTGTTTTTCTTGTAAATGAAAGTAAAGCCTGGAGAAAAGTGACAATCACAACATGGCAAGATGAACCCACATTAACTAAAGTCAGAAGGGAATGCCAGATATACTGGAAGGCTTACCAAAGTTCAGGCCTGGCCCCTGGTTTGAATGCCAAGATCCAGCCCCCAGCCCGTTTGTGTGCTCAGAGGTTAAACTGCCTTTCCCTCCCATCCTTTCAGTCCTGTCTCAAAATTCATTCTCAGTACTTCTCTGCTTTTCCTGGAGCTGGATTTGAGGTGAGAATCCCAGCAGCTTGCGGTTAATTCACCCAGGACAGCCTTCCTGGCTCACGAGCATCTGCCAAGGAGGGGGCCAAGAAACTGTCAGTAAGCAAACATCGCCAATCCAAGGAATTGATTAAGGCAACTTCTCCTGACTCTTTGCTTATGGTTGTGAAAGCAGAAATTGTTTCAGCGTTACTGTTTCCAAAAGATTAATAAAGATGTTCAGGAGGCTGAAGTGCTGGGAGATTTGTTTAATTATTCCCCACAGTCCTGCCCCAGCAATCTGCTGACATTTCGCCCCGACCTTGCAAATCCTCAGCAAATATTAATATATCAACTCAAACAGGGGCTCTTGTTTTATTGGTTCATGGAGCTCAGAAAAATTCGCCACAGCAGTGAAAAAATAATGTGCAGAACTGAGGGGAAACGGCTCCTTTGATATCACCTTCTGCTACACACATGTGCTCGGAGCATCAACAAAATGGAAATACCGCTCCTTTGCCACAGCTGTGGAGTGACACTTCAGATGCCTTGGCTTTCTTTTGTGCAGCCCATTGGAATAGACCCAAAAACTGTGATGGCAAGAGAATAGAAAACACATAGACACAGAGAGACAGGAAGAAATTACATTTGATTATCAGACATGGCAGAATTTTTTTTTTAACAATGGAGAAGTTCTCGACTTGCAGCTTATGGCCTAGAATACGGTAATCAGAAAAACTAAGGGCTGGGTTCACAGACATGTACCTTCATCACTGACATCAAGGGGTGACTTGTAAGTGTGAAGGAGGCATCGCAGATGAATAGCTACGGAGAATGTTTTCCCATCGCCCAATGTCACTATCAATTCATTACAGAGCCATTAACAGATTACACACCTCAGATAGCATCTTCATACCAGCTGAAATTGGCTCTGCAAACACCCTGTGTTTCAGCTCAGACTTCATCCATTTAGTTGAAAACTATCCAGTATATTCACTGCATTTTGATTCAAGAATACAAGTGATGATTTACATGTTGGTGAACCATCATGAGTTAAGAACAAAACAACTGCTTTGTTACATCAGACTAAGCATTCATTTACCTCAGCATTCTGGATTCAGAATCAGCACGCATGCTGGTGTCTATAAGAAGGCACAGGACATAATCATCCCATTTATCTCCATTTATTATTACAAAGAGAAATGCTTTTATACACAGGAGTTAATTTAATGACTAATGCCTGAACACAGCCCTTTCTTCCTAATTCCTAATATTAAAATAGGCAAAGTTCTCTTAACGACTTGAAGCTGAATGTGAAACTTTGGAGCCAATGTGGTGTGGTGGTTAAATTGTTGGCACTGGGAGAAAGAATCTACCATCAATCACTGAAGCTCATGGAGTGACATTCCTTCACCTATTTTCTTCACAGAGTTTTGTGATGGGGAAAATAGTAAGCACGGATGTTAGATATACCACATTGAGCTTCTATGTAAAAGGTAGGATATAAATCTAATAAACAAAAATAGCAGCTCTTGCTGCTTTCCCCTTCATTTATCTATACAGCTTTAACTGAATTATTGCTTGCTTAAAAGCTTACATTTTTTGCCCTGCACCTTGAATAAGCTTAGGAGAGTCATTGCCTCCATAATAATTAGTGATGGGCACTATCACTAGTGGTGGTGGGCAACGATATGGAATAATGAGGGTGGGACAGTGAGTAGAATACCCCAATTACAGCTTCTTTGTTGTCCTAAGTCATCAAAGAGAAAACAAATGATATATATACATCTTAGCAATTTAATAGGTAAGATGTTGAACTAAATACCCAAGTTCAAACCTTCAGTCATGGAAACTCACTCATGAAGGGCTTATTACTCTCTCTCAGGCCAATCTACCTCACAGAATTGTAATGTGGTAAAATGTTGGAGGTGGGAAAGCTCTTTTTACCATCTTATGGTTGTGCAGAAACTATGATACAAAATCTTTTTAAAGAAATAAACTCTTCCCAACTATTAATTTGATCAAATGAAATTTACTTTAGATATTTCAGGATGATGTTTCTTCCTTCCTCTCTGACCTGTGTTTTTCCCCCCTCTCCAGAAATATCTCCTTCTCCTTCTCTTTCAGCCTTCACCCCTTTGATGGAGCTTCTAATTTTTATGTCAAGCAACTTTCAAGACCCAGGCACAAAAAATGAAAACAAACCAAACCTGGTGGGGACAGCAGTGTCTTCATTCACTTTCACTCTCCCCACCCCCAGAAAAATGTAAGCCTAACCATTAACCTACATCAAACCATGTTGTTTAGAGTGTCAGAGGGAGAAAATGCCTGCCTGCCTTCCATTCCTGGCATTCACTTGCACTGAGCCAGAGAGTTAATGTGTGATTAATTTGATTCATAAACATGTTAATCACTTCACTGTGTGAACTGGTTAACATGCCCCACAGCTAGCACCTTTATTTAAAATGCTTCTGTTTTTCTCTTTCACATAACCGCCCCCCTCCACACACACACTGCTCAAATGTATTTAATGTTTTAAGCCTGTTTCTGAGAACAAGCCTTTAAGCCTGGGCTTTAGCTGTGCTGCTGCTCCTGAAGGCTGAGCCTTGGAATTGAGTTTCAGGGCTAGCCGCCTCACCCTGTAGTCTGCTTAGTGTTTATATTACATCACTAGGAATATGGTGCTTTACAGAGTTAAATGGGAAGCCCCATCAAGTCCTTGCTTGCAAACAGCTTACAGTCTAAGTCAGAGGGCCTTAGGAAAATGGCAGCCGGAAAGATAGGAGGGAAGAAAAACATGTGAACCAATACATACTTTACACTGGGGAAATGAATAAATGCAGGGAAGGGTGGTTTTTTTTTTTTTTTTTTTGGCCATGTACTCATGTTTTCATCTCATCCCCAACTGATATCTGAGGCAGCTTGTCCTTAGCTATTCTAAATTAAAGTGGTGTTTTGCCCCTAAAACTTATGGGACTTTGGCTGTGGGTGAATTCTGACATGGTTCACCAACCAATCTGTTCAGCATTGTAGTCAGGTGACTCAAAGTCTGGCACCTATTGGCCACTTCAGGCTAATGTGGGCACACACCCTCCTCTCTCAGCCTTGAGCACTCTCTTCCAAAGCTCTTGTGTTTTGAACAGTGGGAAAGTCCAGGGTTTTGTTTTGTTTTTTAAATTGGCTTATCCATGCATACCTGCTAATCCCTGAAATAAATTAGCTGGAACAGTAGCTATAGCATTGGGGATAGGTATGAAGGTGAAGTGAGCAAGCCAGAACTCCCTCTGCTTATGGACTCAATAACTTGTTAGCTCAGGACAATTTTGGACACAGGTTTAGAACTTTTTGGAATAGCACTAAACCATGTGCAAAGAAGCCCAATTATCAATTCTGTTCTGCCCATGTGTTCTGTAGGGATGAGTTATAAAAGATACTGATGACTGACTGAAATCAGTTAGTCATCACACTAATTTTGGATATGGGTTTAGCACTATTGCAGAAGAGTGTAAAAACTCAAGTTCAGAATGCACCTGTGCAAAAACAACCCAGCCACTTGCATCAAATTTAAGCCAGAACTTTTCAAAGATTTGACAAAATTTGCTGCTCTGATAGCCCTAGCCCGCCTAGGAGGAAAATAAAGCCATGGAGCCACCAATCAATATGATCATATGACTGCTGGCTTATGAGATCAGTGGAAGCAGCAAAGTTTATATGGTACAGTATTTTGGCACCTCAGAAGAGTCCCCTGTCAATGTAATGCTAATTTGCAGTACAAAACATTGATACAATTCAGGGTGGATTTGATTTAAATCGAATTGATTTAAATCACAATTTAAATCATGATTTAAATCACTAGTAAAAAGGCTTGATTTAAATCAACTCGATTTAAATCATAATTTTTAAAGAGCAACTGTCATCTCTGCTACTCCTTTGACCCACTGTTGACTCACCGATAGTCCCAGTGTTGCAGAATATACAGCCTCCTGCTACATAACTAAGCTCCATTTCATGCTGAATAAACTAAATTATTTATGTATCTTAAATAGAAAACTATCTTACGATAGATTTTTACCCCAAAAGTTTTTTATTAAAATAAATTCGATAAAAATCAAAAAAATCCGATTTAAATCAAAAAAATCTGATTTTTTTTTATTTTTTAAAAAAAATCATTGATTTTTATCCACCCTGATACAATTATAATTGACTCTGTATTAAAAGCAGGGCTAACACTTCCAGTATGTAGAATAAGGCAACGCTAGCCTCACACACACTCCTGGTTCTTCTACTGGAGAGCTGTTGTGGCTTCTGATATGGTGGAGGAGGAGGATGCTCCATTACTGGTGTCAAAGTTAAGATTCAGCTTCCAATAAGATGGGCTTCTACAGATGGGAAAATAATGCCATTTTTTCTCCAGTTCAGGAAGCAGAATATCCAGGGTCCGTGATTTCAAACAAACAGGTTTAATTCCCTGCAGAAGAGCCAATATAAGGAAAATTTGATAGATGGTTATGGAATGACCATCCACCTCATTACCAATTCCTTATCATTATTTTTAATGTATCATATCTACCCTGAGAAGTTTAGTCTGTGTACCACTTTGCTCAATTAAATGTCCCTTCGATATTAGGCATATCTCTAATCTTCTTGATCAATAAGACATACAAGGATTTTACTTAGCATGGGTCCTGCTAAAATTTGGGAGTAGAACCAAGAATGGAACAGAAGGAAGCTGTATTTTGGCTTGATACTTTACTTGATAAAAACCAATTATACAAAATGTCTACTCAAAAGTAAATCATCGGGACTTTTTAAAAAAATAAGATTACAGAATTTTCACCCCCAAAATACTCCTCATAAAAATAGGCTGAATTTGGCGCTTCTAAAGGGTTCTTAAAAATAAAAAACACACAGTTTGGATTTTGTTTTGTTTTAAAAGAAGGCACAGTTGAACTGGTAGATAGTTTTAAAAGAAGGCACTTTCTACTGGTAGGTAGAAAAATATGTTTAGTTTCAGAGTTATTTTGCTGATTTCTGTGTTCATAACAGAATTAATGGAATCACTAGGAGTGGTCAAGGGTCAATTTTGATTATGGCAGTATATAAATAAAATAATCAAAAGTGGACAGAAAGCAGTGAAGCAGTCAAAACCCACTTCAGACATATTGAACCCAAACAGTTGATTTTGGCAGTTTAGAATTAAAATCAACTTATTATTTATGTGGTCAATATTACAGTCATTATGATGTAGTTAAACATAAATCCTGCCATAATACATTGGAAATATATCAAGCAAAAAAAAAATCCAAGTTTTCTTCCATCGTGGTTGCTAAAGAGGAATTGACTTGGGTAAACTTGTGACAACTCAGCTGCCCTGAAAGGTGAAGTGTGTCTCACATTTACATGGCATTAATTAATCTGAAATCAAAACTTTCAATAAATCTTAGTCATTAACATTCATGGGAATCACTACTTCCCATGTAAGTGGCAAACAGTAAAATATTGAGCAGAGAAAATTCACCTTTTACTATTTTTATTGTGCTTTTTGAGTGCACAGAGATAGAGACACAAATGTTTATGTAAAAATAAAAGAATCAATGGAGCAGTAATCCTGTGATAGGTATGTTTAAATAAATAAGATTGTAGTTATGCATTTATTCATATTCATAGGTAGAAATAAGTCTAATTTCTCAAATGAGAAAATGGGCAATTGAGCATACAAATAGAAAAGTACAGCCTGCAAAACGATACTTTTCATCACATAGATAAGGCCCATGCGCAGAGAGAAGAAGGATTTGTAATTCAATAAATGAAGTGAGATTTGGAAGTTTAAGTGTATGTTAAATTGAATCAGATTTATTCTCATGGTTTTAAGCAAGATCTACACTAAATAAAAAGCATGATTAAGTAGGAATTATTAAAAATTATCCAACCCATCGGACTTATTTTACTCAACAAAATCAAGATTGTCAAACATTTTTCCTATAAAGTTGAAGATGTCACTGCAAATACATTTGGATACTATTATTATTAAAAAGAATCTACCCTGAGTGAAAAAAAAAGATATGTACGTTTGAGTAGCAAATCATACAGATCTCCTTTATTCTATAGGTGTGGCTGTCATCTGAAACTGAATGGGATTAATAGTCAAACTCTCTATCGTATATGAACAAAACATTCATGTAAGTGGAAAAAAAATCTAATAAACTGATACAACCTGATTGCAATCTATGCAAAGTTACTTGATGTTATCAGACTTTGGAAAAACTCTGTGAATTCTCTTCTACTATTTTACTGCTAAAAATGCAATAATAGCAGGAAGCTTCCATGCCTTTTTCAATGCTTGAGTTTGAAGGCAGAGGATAGAAAAATGTGGACTTCCATCTGTCTCTCCCTCCAAACATGCACATACACACATACACACACATTTCTCTCTTGATGCATAAAAACATGGTATCAGGAAGAGTCCTTTAATTCTTGTTTCTAACTCTCCCACTACTCTGACTATGGAAAGAACTAATTCAGAGTTGCATGTTCTTCATATGAGAACTGCAACTCCAAGTTGAGATTTGTATGTTGCAGACAAGGGCCATGTAAGAATGTCTTTTCTGTGTCCTATTTTTATATACCGGTATTTACTGTACATATACATATACATATACATATACATATACAGCATTAAAAATTAAAATTATTAAAAATTAAGCATGTAATAAATGTTGTTTATTTATAGCATTCTTTCTGATAAAGGGATGATCACTGAGTTCAGCTTTCTATGACACAAAAAGAATGTACACCCTCCAAAACCAAAAATCCAGACTGGTCTGATAGTAACCACTTGTATAATCCTAAATAATCCTCATTTAGCTAGTGTGTCATGTAGTGACTGCTGGTAGTCGCAACAGTTAACTTTGTGACCAATCCTTGCATTTACAATCTTTGTAGCCCTGTAAAGCAAGTGAAAACTGGTAATATCAGAAGCAAAGTTGTGGTTTTTCTTAATGACTGAGTTGCCAAACGCAACTGTGGTCACTCAACAAGGACCTGTAATCTCAAAATGCAGTTGTATGTGAGCTAAAATAATACTGGGGGGCAGGGGTGAAATCTAGCAGGTTCTGACAGGTTCTGGAGAACCAGTAGCGGAAATTTTGAGCAGTTCGGAGAACCGGCAAATACCACCTCTGACTGGCCCCAGTGGGGTGGGAATGGAGATTTTGCAGTATCCTTCCCCTGCCATGCCCACCAAGCCATGCCAACCAAGCCACACCATGCCCACCAAGCCATGCCCACAGAACTGGTAGTAAAAAAATTTGGATTTCACCACCGACTGGGGAGGGGGATTTAAGCCTAGTATGGCTGGAATGAGGACAAGTAGCCTTTAGCAAAAGAAAGATGCTCCTGCTCTGGAAGTGGATGCATTTGGGAGGCTTGACATAAAAGTTAGAACCTAAATCACCCTTTCCCAAACAGATGTGCTCCAGGTGCCTTATACTATAGCCCCCAGAGTTCCCAGTCATCACTGGCAACATTACAGGAGAGAAAATTAAGCATACAGAGTAGGAAAGAAAGAACAGAATCAACTATATAGCATCAGCCCTTTAACTCAACAACTCACAAGATCAACCCTGTGGGGAGCAATCTGTGGCTCCCCAGTTGTGCAAGAACAATTCTTATAAGCCTGTATTACTGCCACCTGGTTGGGAGTCAGGTGGCATCAAAAATCAAATGAATAAATAGCAACATTAGCTAGGGAACTGGATATGAGTTCTCCAAATATTCAAATTATAAAGCTAAACAAAGGTAATAAAGGACAAACATACCGTCCTTTCCCACAAGAGCCAGAGTGGTGAACTGGCTATAATGTTCAGCTTCACTTCCAAAGTGAGTTTGGAGCCATCACATTCACCTAAATCAACTCAGAAGGCTGTTTATGGAGAGAAATGACTGGACAGAATGGTATGAGGATTCCTGCACTGGGCAAGAGGTTGGACTAGAAGACTTCCAAGCATATTTCCTACCCTATGATTCTACAGTATCATGGTGGGACCCAGGAGTGGATGAAGGGGTTACTCAATGAACTTCAATGGGGACAAGAACAGGAAAAGAATTATTCACACAACATATCTTAGTAACTTACATCCAACATATCATCCTGTCTGTGGTTCGCTGCCCCCACCCCATCTTTTCCTTAACTTTAAAATTGGGAGAGCAGAGAACTGTCATGATCCATTAGTCATCACAGCTACATCATATGGAGCCTCCATATTCAAATGCAGCATACCTTAATTGCAGGAATTGGGACAAGAGATAGCTGTATACCAACTTCTGAGAAACATTTGCTGGAAATCCAAAAGCTGGTGGATTTTAAGCTAACCAGATGGGCTTCTTTCCCTTTTCTACAGAGTGGGCAGAAACCTGCAGAGTTGGTGACTAAGGTCTCCTCCAAATGGGGAACCTCTTCTTTTTAAGAATGGAAGCCTGGAAGAACAAGGCCCATTTTTCTTTCTCTCTTCTCTTCCCTCTCCATGTCCCCCGCTTCCCTCCACCCCTTGCCCACTGTCTTTGTAGCAGTCTCTCATCCAACAAGGACGATTGAAACTTTATAGCGCATGATTCATAGGCCGGATCTGTTTCTGGAGCCAGGGGGGGTGCATATTACATTAATCAGTGTCAGCCCACTAAAAGAGAGACGTGCATATGAATTCTCCATATTGCCTGGCACTGGGGAGAGATAAATGTGCTTGGGAGCCAATGGACCGGCGCGCCATAGGAAAAAATAAAACAAATACGATTCTCTGACACAGTCACTCACACAGAGAGATTCGACTGGTTCTCCAAGCTAAAAATACTAGATCCATTTGTCCGGCAGTAAGATCGCGGAACTTAAATGGGACTCCATTCGCAACAAGCGCAGAGGCTCGAATTTCTCAGACTTGATTCCTCTCCAACCCCACTCCTACCCGTGCAAAGGCAGGAGGAGGTTTGGACTCCTTTAAGGGCCAGAGAGCGGGACGAGAGCGAATTTGGGCGGATGGCGAAGGCGCGCCTGGGCCTTGTCCGAGGTAGCCGGACATCTCCCCCCCCCCACTTGAACCATAAATCAACGAAAGGCAGCAGCTGTCCCGGCAAATAAAAACGTCGCGAATAGAGGCCGAACCGGAAAAAAAGCGCCCTCCTTTTCTGGAAAGCGAGGATTAAGCGCGTCGCTCTTTTCTAACCGACAAAAACAAATGGCTTGGCGCTGGTAAAGATCGATCGCATAAAGTTCAATTAAAAGGAAAAGGGGATATTAGGAGAGCAGGGCAGCCGCGGAAGAAGAGACCCGTTTCACTGGGCTCCTCAAGCACCGCTTGCCGGCTCAACGCGTCTTCTCGACGCGACAGGCGAGGCTTCGGGTTGCCTCTTCTCTTCCCAGCCTTGCCCTTTCAGCTTCCCACCTTTCCTTTAAACAGGTACCTGCCAGAGTGAGTGGGACGAGCACTTCCCTACTTCCCTCTCAGCAAAGCCATGCTGTCCGCGACTCATGGGGTATGTAGTCTAGCATTCCTGGGGCGCCTCGGACTGAGGACTAGCGAGTTTAATCATGGCAAGAGCAAAGGGCCGCTGAGGTTGCCCAGCTTCCTTGCCTGAGGTTTTCTACAAAGCGTTGCGTACGAAATCTAAGGGCTACACTTCCTGCTACCCACATTCGGCGACGACAAGAAGGCTATTAAATCCCAAAATACTATTTCCGCTTAAATCTGCCGCAGATTTAAGATTTAGTTGTTCGTTCCTAAGTAACGTCGGCGGCAGTTTTTACTTCGAGTCAAAGCACTCTTAATAGCGCCGCGTTGTTCTGCACCAACCTTCCCCAACTCTGAGCCCTCCAGATGTCCAGGACCATCTCCCACCCCCTCTTCCCTCCCGGATTGGAAGGTGTGACCCAACAGCACTAAATGGGGCCGGCCAGGCCAGGCCAAGTAACCAGGTTCTCTCTTCAGACAGGGCCTTCCCCACTGGCTGGCTCTCCTGGCCGGGCTGAGGAGCCCTCTGTCAGGGAAGAGGGAGCTCAGGCGTGCTCCGGGAGAGGCTTCTGCCTGCGGGACTCGGGTCTGACGTTCTCCGCGGTAGAGGACGCTGCAGCCCGCTTTTTTTTCCAGTACCCGGGCGGGCCGCATTTGCTCTTCCTTTTTCCCTGCTGGCTTTTGAAAGAAAAGAGCAACTCAAAAGAAGCCGAGAACTTCTCCCGGCAGGAAGCGGGAGAGCAGGACTGCACCTATTTGAAGCAAACCGTACGGCGTTTTGCTCCGCCGCCCGATTTCAGGAGGAGGAAGCGTTAGGGGAGGGCAGCCGGGCTCCTTCCCCACTCTAGAGCTAGTGGAAGGCCGAGACGGTTCCCCGACACAGCGAGAACACTGACCGGGGCCGAGGAATCCTGGGGATTCTCCATCGCTGGGGAACACATTCCTGCGTCGGCCGCCGCCGCCGCCGCCGCTCTTGAAGACAGGAGCGCCTCGGACGAGGCCGCTGGGTTTCCCGCGGAGGCCGTTCTCGCGTTTTACGACGCCGTTGCCCAGCCCGATTGAGCGGGCTACAAATGGAGCCGGAAAATTGGGAAGTTGTTGCCCTGCCTGGGAGGGACTCGACTCCGGGGGAGCCATAATGCGCAAGCGTTGCGAGTCCCGAGATTGAGGAGAATTTTACGCACGCGCTGAAATCGTTTCCACTGGAATAACTGAGACTGTAACAGCACTTGGATTGAGAAAACACGACGGAGGGTAATGACAAACACAGCTTTGTATACGCCTCTCTTCTGCCAGGGATGATTTCATAACTAAACATTTTTTTAAAAAAAAGAACACCATAGTTTTGCATTTCCTACATTCTAAAACCCAAGGGTCTGCCTGCAATATTTTCCGATAGAAGACTCCTTCCCCAAGAGAAGGAGTGGGGGGAAGCTTGATCTTCTGCAACTCTCCATACAGTATACAGACTACCGGTAGTTGCAACCACTGTCACCCGCTTCTGACCTTATAATAACCTTGCAGAGTAATCGGAATGACTCTTGAGGTAACGTATAGACCTTCTAAACCTCAGATCGATGTATTTCAGAACTTGCGACGCAGCCCTTTGAACAGGGGCGGAGAAGGCAGCCATCCTGAACTCAGTGGGGTTTACTTCTAAGGAACCTACAAAAGATCAAACTACCTCGCTCCCTTCGCCTTTGAAATCAATGGAACAT